CAGTGGATAGAGTGTTGGCCTTCAGACTCAAGGGTCCCAGGTTCGATTCCGGTTAAGGGCATGTACCTTAGTTGAGGGCACATCCCCAGTGGGAAGTGTGCAGGAGGCAGCTGATCGATGTTTCTCTCTCATTGATGTTTCTAACTCTCTAGCCCTCTCCCTTCCTCTCTGTAAAAAATCAATAAAATATATTAAAAAGTTAAAAAATAAAAAATCAATGGAAAAAACACACTTGGGTGTGAATTAACAACAAGAATTAAAGGAAACAAACAAATAAGATAGAAATTGCTTATAATGGGTTTCTTCATTGACCCTTCCTTCTCTTTATTTCTTTTTCTCTTTCTGTCACTCAGCAAATAGAGTTTGAGCATTTACTATGTGCAGATCCTGTGCTAGTTGCTGAGATGTGAGAGAAAGCAGAAATGGCCCTTGTCCTCATGAGGACTGTCATCTGCCTTTAGAGGATGATAGCAATATATTCAATAACAAAAATATACAATAAACGAAAGTATTATACCACAAGTGCTTGAAAATTAACAAGAAAAAAACAGGAACCCCAATGGGAAAATGAGCAGGGTTTATAATAAAAGTGAACCCAAGAAGCTAACAGGCAGATGAAGAGATATTCAATAATTTAAAAATATTTTTTTTACCTTCAGAGGACTTATTTTATAATCCCATCCCTGTAGCACCTCAATTTTTGCCTTTTCTTAGGTAAAGAGAGATAGACCTAGGATCCTGGAGGGACTTGGGGTGTAACTGTCAAGTTCTCTACAATCTATAACACCTTGAGACTTACCAGAGAGATAGCAAACTCTTGATAGGCCACCAGGTGGCACTCTACCCATCCCTAGCTCAGAAAGCTCCTGAAGATTCTCTGGAAGGGTATGGCTCAGAGTAATAAAAAACGAGCCATTATTATTATTATTATTATTATTTGTAATTGCCAACTAGAATGAACAAAATATTCCCCCTAAATATATAAGGTGGGGGATTCAGAATTCTGCTTTTGTTGGGATCCTCATGAAGAATTCCCTTTGCTCCTCTGGTGAAGCCTAGAGAACACTGGATATCCTTCAGGACACAGGATATGGTTAGGTTATTGGAGTTTCCTGCCCCTGAGCAGTTAGAATTAGCATGAATGGTTACAGAGGAGCAGGTCTGGGCTTTAGGGAGTGGAAAAGGGGAGAAAGGTGTCTGCTTTATTGGAAATCTTTGTGTGGCTGAGCATGCCTCCCACCAGTTCTGGTTTTGGTTTCTGGAATCTCAGAGCACTGTAGTGAAGGTTTCAGAAAGCAGGGGTCATGAGGTGTCAGGCTGCAGTGACCCACCTGTGGGACAGGGATTAGTCTCCAGGTGAGGCAGAGGCTGTCAGTCCCATATGAGTGTCTTTGCTTGGGGAAGTTCTCTGCCTTAGGAATTCTCCTAAGTTCATGTGAACTGGCAGGGTATTCATGTCCCAGGAGCCTTCCCCACCAATGAGGGATGGCAGTTGGTGAATAAATTCCCCAGCCTCCTCACCTTGAGTTTCCCCTCAGTTTTTAATTTATTTTTTTACTTTTATTACACAACTATTAAAGATATTCCCCATTCCACCACCTCCACCCAGCTCTTACCCCCTTTCCTCTGGCCTTCACCATACATAGTCCATGGCAATGCATATATGTTCTTTGGCTAATCTCTATACCTTCTTTTATATGGTTGGGGGCTGAATTTTGAGGGTTTCTCCCATAGTCCCTCAGATCCAGTTGTCCCTGGGAGCAAACAGCTTATCAACATACACTTTTGGTTCCTTCTCTTTGCCCTCTTTCCCTATCTCCAGCTTCCTGGGATCTCTTTCCAAATAAACTCCTTGCACTTGTAGGGAAGCAAAATTTGCCATCCTAAAGTGTGTTTTCCTGGCATGAGGATTATTTTATTTTTAAGAAAGAAAAGACTCAAGAAGAACCTTTGATTGGTCAGTGCCAGGGCAGGGGGTCATAGTCAATGCAGCTGGACCTGGCATTACCCACCTGGTTTTGCTGCTTTTTCTGGGCCTGGAGCTGAAATACAACTGAGACCATGACCCTGAAAGGGCACACCTGGAAAAGCTGATGAATTGTCTATTGAATTCTCCCTAAGACCTTCTCTAATCTCCTTTAAGCCCCAGCTCCCTTCCCCCAAAGGAAGGTCCCAGGAACATGCCTGTACCTTTCCTGCCTTCTTTCCCTACTTGTGTGCATCTCCTAAACTCTAAGGGACCCCATGAGACTTGCAACCAGGGGAGCAATGGGCAGTGGCAGAGACTTGCAATCAGGAGAGCAAAGGGCAGTGACAGCTCATCCTAGGCTAACCCCCTGAACCTGTCTCCAAGGCCCCCTTTGTTGCTTCTTTTAGCCTAAGCCCTTGTTTCACTGTCCCCAGCTTTAATAAACATACTCTCAAGAACAAAACAAAGCAAAAACAGCACATACACAATGAAGACCATTTGACCTCCCCCCCTTACTTCCTTACTGCCTAAAATAATTTCGCTAGAGGGCCTGCCCCTGAAAGGGAGCTCTCCTGGTAGATAGCTATAATGTAGTCTGAACTAGGTGTGGGGCTTAGACTTTAGAGACTCTGTCTCCCACTCTCTGCATGCCCAGCACACATTTGCTTACCCAACATTTGCTTTTCCATCTCCCTGTGAATTGCCTTCCTTCCCTTTAAAGTCCCCAAATACTACCCACTTCTCCTTAGCTCAAGACAGCATATAAGCTTCAACTGCCCTATCTGTCCTTGGGGCACCATTTTCTTATGGAACCTCCATACACATGTACATAATGAAATCGGATTATTTTTCTCCTGTTAATCAGTCTCATGTCAATTTAATTCTTAGACCCCAGCCAGAAGAACCCAGAAGGGTAGGAGAAAGTTTTTCCTCCCTTACATACCCAAATTTTAATCTCTGGATTTGCTTTTAGGTAATTCAAATGAATAGAGAGAGAAAGAAAATTAGGTACATTTGGTGAACAGCTTAGATGTTTTCAGAGCTCAGATAATGGAGAAAAATATAGAAGAAGCAGATGGGAAAAAGACCCCAATAAACTTCCAAACATTCTGAGCTACTCTGACTTTTAATTTTATATATACTTAAAGAGAGGAAGAGAAAGAGAAACATCAATGATGAGAGAGAATCATTGATTGGCTGCTTCCTGCAAGTTCCCTACTGTGGAAATGAGCCTGCAACCTGGGCATGTGCCCTTGACCAGAATTGAAATGAGCATGGGCATGTGCCCTTGACCCTTCAGTCCACAGGGCAACACTCTATCCACTGAGCCAAACTGGCTAGGGCTGACGTTTAACTTTTACATGCAGTAGTTCTAAGAATCCTTTGTTGAAAAAAACCAGTTGATTTGGTTGTACGAAGCTTTCAAAACTATTTTGAAGATAGTCACTAGGAATGAGAAATTCAGGTTTGAATTTTTCAGTTGCTCTGTTCTGTCTTGTGAATAGAAAACCCACCTCGTCTCAGCTATCATCCGAGGTACAAGTCTAGCTTATAAAATATTAATTGGGTGATATTCTTTCCCCTGATCTCATAATGGCTTCTGACATTTTGATGCTAGCATTTTGGATACACACAAAGTAAAGAGGGACCAAGCGTCCTCTATTTACATTTCAGAACCTCCCAGTGTATGCTTTGGGATGTATTCTGCACCTAGCTCAGGCAAGCCTCTGAGCAAACTGTTGAAAGAGGTTAATGATGGGTTTATATAAGTTGCTCTTGCTTTATTTAGGTCCCGAGAAATGCAAATGTCAGCACAAAATTCGTTTTCGGTTCCATTAAATTTCCAGGAAAAATATCAAGACAGTTGTAAAAAAAGAAAAACAAGGCTGGATGAGTCAGGCTAAACAAATGAAGAGCCAATTTGAGGCTAAACTTGGGACAAGCCAGGAGCCACTTCATTCTCCAGCATTTTGTGGAAAGATTATGAACCCTGCTCTTTCATCCTCTCTCTCTCTCCTCCTCTCTTTTTGGGGGTGGGGGCAGGTTTTGGTTTCTAATTTCTAGTGACTTGTCACTCTCTTGTCTAAAGTCTTCTGTAAAGATGGAATTGTTAAATGTCCTTCCTATGGAGCTTAGTAAAAAGGTTCTCGGTAGAATGTATTTCCTTAAAGATGAGATGCATTGTGCAAAACTGAAAACAACAACCAAAAAAACCATTTTGAAGATTCTGAGTGTGTTTATAATAATCCATGCCATCTTCATATTCTATAGGCTTTGTTTGAGTCTCATTAAGATTTTATGATACTGATAGGAAAGAGTAAGACAATACAATTCTATTTATGTAAAGTTTAAAAACAGGAATTAGCCCTAACCGGTTTGGCTCAGTGGATAGAACATCGGTCTGCGGACTGAAGGGTCCCAGGTTCAATTCCGGTCAAGGGCATGTACTTTGGTTGCACACATCCCCAGTAGGAGGGGTGCGAGAGGCGGTTGATCGATGTTTCTCTCTCATTGATGTTTCTAACTCTCTGTCCCTCTCTCTTCCTCTCTGTAAAAAAAAAAAAAAAATCAATAAAATATATTAAAAAAACAAAAACAAAAACACCCCAAAAACCCCCAAAACAAAACAAAAAAATCGGCACTAGACAATGTTTGCTGCTAGAAATCATGACTGTGATTATTCTTTGTGCCTGGATAGCAACTGGGAGGGGACACAAGGAGGGTTTTTGGGTGCTGGTAATACTTTGTTTCTTGGCCAGTTTGTAAAAATCCATTGAACTACATGTTTGTGATCTGTGCACTTTTCTGCATTTATAGTACACTTAAGTAAAAAATTCAAACGTGTATTAATATTGCCATAGAGGTTAAAAAATAGATATGTATTTTTTCACTTTTGTTAAACTCCACGTCTCAGATCTCCCGCCACAGTGGGAGTTTTTGCCAGGCCCTGGCCATCCTAGAGACTAGGGTGGGATGCATTTTGGGGCTGGCTGTCTGGAACAAGGCCTGCTGCTTGGCAGGGTCAGCTTACCTGCGACCTTGGAGTTGTATGCCACTCCGACCCCACAGATATTGTTGTTGGCTGCGGCAGAAACTTCCCCTGCACATCGGGTTCCATGGCTGCAGGGAAAAATAAAGACAAGTTAATACAGTTTCAAAAGACTCTGGAAGAGGTTCCTTAAATTCTGTCAATTGGAAGTAATTGGGCTCTTTTCAATGGCTTGGTTAGCCCGAAGCTAGCACTTGGCCCACCCAATTTTCCATCTATGTATCCAGCGTCTCTTCTTTCTCCTCCCCCCTCCAGCTGCCTTCTGGACTGTGGCTTATTTCTGACAAAAGAGGCTTCTCAGAACATTTCAACCTTAAAATCTGATCTTTACTTTAAAATTTGAAGTATCTTCTTGCACAAAATACACTTATATGTCCCTGGTTGGAAGAGCTCTGATTGTTCTGAAGCACTAGAATTGTGGGCCGGTACTTAATTTCAGGGCTGGTCCATCCATTGTGGGTAACGCTGCTTTACCTTTTTGGCTCACAGACTCTTTTGAAGATTGAATGCTATAGTATTCCATGCTACAGATTCTTACGTTCCTTCAGGAATATAAAGGCATACAGTGACAACGTTTTGCATATAGTTTCAAGGAAGTCCACAGAACCTGCGAGGCTGACCAGATTAAGACCCTCAGGCATTTATTAGGTAATCTTTCCGAGGTTTCCCTGGTTTTATAATGCTGAGCAAGCCTTCTCAGGGCTCATGTTTTAGAATGTCCTTTGCAGCACTCACTATAATTCCATTAGTTTTCTCCCTTTAGCTTGTCCTCTCTTCCCTTATATCACGGGTTCCAAATAGTTCTTCCCCTCCTATGTGTACTTCCCCCCTTCTTGACTTGGCCTGGTGATTTGGGCTGACCCATAAAATGCAGTGGGAGGGTGATGAACCACTTCTGAAGAGGCCTGGCACCCTGGCCGGTGTGGCTCAGTTTGTTGGGCATTGTCCCATGCACAGAAAAGTTGCTGGTTTAATTTCTAGTCAGGGCACATGCCCGGGTTTTGGGCTAGATCCCCTTTAGAGGGTGTGCAGGAGGCAGCAGATTGATATTTGTTCTCACATCAATGTTTCTCTCTCCATCTCTCCCTTCCTCTCTCTGTAAAATATTTAAAAGAGGCCTGACAGCTTGAGCTTCCATCAGCTGGTGCCAGGTGCCACATAGAGGAGCTTGAGCTAGAGTCTAGCTGCTAGACCACATATGGGTGAGAAGACATGGAGAGAGGCCTCCAATGTTCTAGTACTTCAGATGATATGCCTGACGTGAGGGGAGCCTCATCCTTCCTCCCTTCCAGACCAGCCAGGTCACCCCAGTTTGCAGGTAGTGGAGAGAGACAGGCTGCCTCTGCCCAGGTTACAGGAGTGTGAGCACATAAATGTTCTTTTTTTTTTTTTTTTTTTTTTTTTTTTTAAATTTTGGAGTACTTTGTTAAGTGGCTATAGAGAACCGAAACAAGCATAAATGCCTAAGTCAATCAGAATGCGGTGTTTAAACCCCACACAGCATTCAAGATGTGGAAGTCACCTGAAACTTACCAGCCCTGACCCTCAGGGGCCGATTTTAATTGTCTGTGAAGCAGCTAAGGAATTAAAACAGTCACATTATCAAGTCTGCTGGAACCTGTGCGCACAGCCTGTGGAAGGGCCTGGTTGGGGGTGGGGTGAGGGGGCTGGCTTTTTCACTCAACACTCAAACTGTGGATCAAGTAAGGAAATGTGGGTGCAGGGGCTGTCTGGCTAGAGGGCCCCAGGAAGCCTTGATTTCTGCAGCGGTGACTAGTGTACTGTCTGTGACATCCTTTCCGGGCAGGCAAAGCTATTGCACAAGTCCTTAAAAAATAAAGTATAGACCTAGCCGGTTTGCTCAGTGGTTAGAGTATAAGCTTGTAAACTGAAGGGTTCAATTCTGGTCAAGGTCATGTACCTCGGTTGCAGGCTCATTCCCCAACTTGGTCAGGGTGCAACCAATCAATATGAGATCAATGTTTCTCTTTCTCTGTTTCTCCCCCTCCCATCCACTCTCTCTAAAAATTAATGGAAAAAATATCCTCAGGTGATATATGTACACACACAAGTGAATACACACACACACACACACACACACACACACACACACACACACACACACATTTTCTTTCTTTGTATGAGTAAAAGTAAAGCCTGCCTCCATAAAGGCTACCTATCTCCTGGACTCTAAATTCCCTTTGAAACAAGAATAAAATCTGCATATTGTGTCCAAGTAAACCCTGAAGTTACTATACAAGTTGGCCTTGTGGTGACAGATTTGTGAAAGCTTAGTGCTGAACCAACTGCTGTCTCCTTGTCCAAGTTTTCTGTAAACCACACTGAGAAGGTGCTTAGTTAAGGTGGAACTTGATGGGAGACTGTCGTGGATGTGGCTTTAATGGCAACTACCTTCTTATTCCAAATTCTGGAGAAACTGATAACTAAAATGTTTAAAAACATCATAAAAGCACACACATATGTATTTATATGAACAAAATGATATCTATACACCTTTATATTGATTTGTATATGTATTTTAAATATATAAATTTAAGTGTATGCATATACTTATATCTATTATATATTCAATAGGGGTCCGGGGCATGAAAATTCATGCCCGTCCCCTCTCAGTCCGGGAGCCCTCAGAGGATGTCCTACTGACTGCTTAGGTCCACTCCCACAGGCCTAAGTCTGGCCTCCCTCTGCGGGAGGCGACCAGGTTGATCAGGGGAAGGTGCCACCCCCATCACCCTACTGCTGCTGCCATGGCTGGCAGTGGTGGCTGTGAGGCCTGAGCCCTGGGCCTTGCAGCAACTGTGGCTTTGTCTGGATGGACATCTAGAAGAGATCTGCCCTAATTAGCATATTACTCTTTTATTAGTATAGATAATTCTAATATATGCCTATACATTATCTACCGGTATATACCCACACATTATATACTTAAATATGTACATATCAATATATAAAATACAAACTATGTATAAAGTATACATATGCTTTATATTGGTGCATAATTTAAAAAATGGAACTTACTTTAATGGATACTGACTAAATGTATCTTGCTTGCTTGCTGTTTGACTCATGCTGAACAAATCATTCTTAAATAAAAGTTTAAAAAATCAATGCCATCTCTAATTTGACTGAGAACAAATTTCCTTATTATTTAATAATCAGTCCTGTTGATATCTCCTTTCTGAGACCTAAAATGTGCAATCAGGCCTTGCCTGGGCCAGTCATTACTTTCACCAACATTTGTGAAGAGCACAGAGGTACTGATGGAGGCTGTATAGTGTGTGGACCCTGCTCTAGAAGTCTCAGGAGTTAGAAGGCCCAACAGCCAGCTGTCTGGGAGGTTATTCATGACTAGGTACTGTGCTCAGTGCTTTTCTGGCCTCATCTACTTTAATCTTCACAAGAGGGCTACCTGTCGGTACTGCTCCATTTCACAGATGTCAAAGTTGACTCTTGGAGGTATTGACTCTAAGGTGCACAGCAAAAAGGTGGCTGAGCCAGGTCTGAGACCAATGCTCAATTACTGAACCAATCCTCTACCCTCCCACATGAGGATATAAGCTCATCTATACCCTAAAACTGCTCACTGATGGCTGGAGGACAAATGTATGTGAACTGGCTTGCACAAATGAAAAACACTGAATGCTTCATTATCTTTAGTTTTGGCCTTTAAGTGGCAAGATGAATGCTGTGGGCTCTCTAGAGGAACATAAGAGAAGAAACATTTCATTGTTAAATTAGGAGGCACTAATTAATTATAAGCAGCTAGTGGAGGCTTCTTATAATTGTTCATGACTCCATCTTTTCAACAGTCCTGGGCCTTGTAAGCTCTGTTCCATTGCCTCCAATGCTTTCCCCTCATTCCTGCCTTCCCAATGGTCTCGGGCAATGCTTGCTCCCTGAATGTCAGTTTGGACTCTTGGTGGTTTTCTTAAAACATTCAGTAGCTCCCTCTTGCCTCTATAATAAAACACTAGAGGCCCAGCACACGAAATTTGTGCACTGGAGGGGGGGTTGTCCCTCAGTCTAGTCTGTACCCTCTCTAAAATGGGACCCCTGCAGGATCAGGCCTAAACCAACAGTCAGACATCCCTCTCACAATCTGGTACTGCTGGTTCCTAACCACTTCCCTGCCTGGCTGCCTGATTGCCCCTAACCACTCTGGCTGCCAGCTTGATAGCCCTCTAACTGCTCCCCTGCCAGCCTGATTAACACCTAACAACTGCCCTGCCACCTAACTGCTCCCCTGCTGGCCCAAAATCCCCCAACTGCCCTCCTTTGACAGCTGTATTGTGACAATGTGGGGGTGGCCATTTTGTGACACAAGCGTGTGAGAGTCAATTTGCATATTACCTCTTTATTATATTGGATAAGCCTGTCTGAAGTGGAAATACCTGTAAAGGGTGAGGGACAAATATGGTTGCTTGATTGACCACCTTCAAGTTATTGGAGTCACGGCTATGTTGCATTACTACTCTCCTGGTCTGTGTCTGTGGCAATGGTCTGTGTCTGTGGCAATGTGATTTTCTTGCTCCTCCCTGGAGAGTGGAGCCTATTTTGCTCTTCCTTGAATCAGGCTGGCCTTTCAGCTTGTTTTGGCCAAAAGCATGTGTGGAAATGCTGAGTTTAGCCCTCAAGAGGACTTGTAGCTTCTTCCTCTTGAAACCCTGCCCAGGTACCATGTGGACAAGACCAGGCTCAACTATTGGATGGTTAAAGACATGCAATTCCTTGGGCCTATCTCCTCAGCTGATAGTCAACCATCCTCCAGACATGTGAGAGAGGCTGTCCTAAGCCAGCAAGCCCCCAGCCAACCTGCCAGCTGACCATGGACACACAAGGGAGCCCAGCCACAAAGCTGAGCCCTGTGCAGATCAACAGCACTGTCTAGCTAACCTACAATTTTGTGAGCAATTGTTAATGCTTATTGTTTCAAGCTACTAAGTTTTGGGATGGTTTTTATGTGGCATTACTTGGCAATGGATAACTGATACAATGGATACACAAGGCTAGAGGGACAATGCATGTTAACCTGTGGGGGAATAGGGTTCAA